AAAATGTATATAACATAATATTTACCATTTTAACAATTTGTAAGTAGACAGTTCATTGGCATCAAGTACCTTCACGTTGTTGTGTAACCATCACCATATCCATCTTCAAAGCTTTTTTTCATTTTTCCAAACTGAACTCCGTACCCATTAAACAATAACTTCCCATTTCCCTCACCCCCAACTCCTGAAAACCACCATTCCACTTTCTGTCTCTCTGAATTTCACTACTCTAAGTACCTCATATAATTGGAATTAAGATTCTTTGTCTTTTTGTGACTGGCTTATTTTATTTAGCATAATGTCTTCGAGGTTCACCCATGTTGTAGCGTGTGTCAGAATTTTCTTCATTTTTAAGGCTGATTAATATTCCGTTATACACATATGCCACATTTTGTTTATCCACTCATTTGTCAATGGGCACTTGGATTGCTTCCACTTTTTGGCTGTTGTGAATAGTGCTGCTATGAACGTGGGTGTACAAATATTTATAAGTTTCTCTGCTTCCAACAGTTTTGGGTATATACCCAGAAGTGGGCTTGCTGGACTACATGGCTTAGAAGTGATGGGGAACACTGCAGTTAGCTTGTTGTTGCCTTTCTCCATTCCTAGACCCCATGGGGAAGAAGAGGAGAGCACAGCCTAGAACATGGGGGTGGGAAGGGGTTCTTTCCATTCCAGGGAGGGCACAGCTCATGGCCAGGGGAAAGGTGGGTGGTGAGTGTTCCAGAAGCCTTTATGTCCCCAGGGGGCGCTAGGTAGCCTAATCAGCTTGGGAGAAGGACATTAGGCTGGCTTTACAAGGGGAATTGCAAGGACCAGAGTACATGTCCTAGTATGAGGCTGCCATGGAAGAGGGTACACCCTTATTTGGGGCTACTTGAGGGGAATCAAGGTTCTTATTGAGAGGGGCCCGGCAGGCAGCCACAGGGTAGCACACATGCAAATAATTCATCCATCATTGCATTTGCATCACTGATTACTATGGCCACCACGTTATGCTAGTTCATGGGGCACTCCTCACATAGGATAGAGAGTGAATGGCCCCTGCCTGGATTATGCAAAGTGGCAGCCATGCCAATTATACTATTATACTTCATTATAACGATTTGTCTGAATACACATTTCTGCACTATAATTGCCAGCCTGACAACATAGTGAAACCCTATCTCTACAAAAAATAGAAAAATCAGCCCAGCACGGTGGCACACACCTGTAGTACCAGCTGCTCAGGAGGCTGTGGCAGGAGGATCTCTGGAGCCCAGGAGTGTGAGGTTACAGTGAGCTGTGATGATGCCACTGCACTCCTGCCCAGGGAATAGACCAAGACCTTGTCTTAAAAAAAAAAAAAAAGAATTGTATCATCTTGTTACACCTTAGGGCCTTCAAACTCCATTTAGGGGATGGGGGACAGTCTGGTGACTAAAAAAGTCTTGTTACAAGACTATATTTTCTTGGAGAGCTCAAGCCCCACAAGAAGAATTTTCTCCTAGTGTTTTGATGTTTTCACATTGGAGAAAGACAATAAACAAAAGTAAAAGATATTGCATGTTATTAATATATGGAGGTAATCGCTAAGAAGAAAAATTTAAGGTGGACTGAGAAAGAGAGTGCTGAGGTCTGCAGGAGGCGGGAGAAGGCTCCCTGGCAAGGTGACATACCTGGTCAGATGGGTTCTCCAGCCTCAGCTCAGGAAATGAGTCTCCCTAGTCTCACAGCTTTCAGAAGTGGGCTGGGAGGAGTGAGCCATGTGGCTCTCTGGGGAACAGCAGTCCAGACAGAGGGGGCTGAGATGGGGGTGACCCTGGCATGTTTGAGAAGCAGAGAGGGGGCGAGCATGTGAGCAGGAGAGGCGCGGGCGGGAGAGGGGCAGGCAGGCAGACCATGCAGGGCCTCAGGCACCCCTGTAAGGGCTTTATTTTTACTTGGAGTAAGAGACTTCTATTGTCTGCTCTGTTCTTACCACTAGATGCTATAAAGCTCAATAATTTTAAAAAATTGAAAAGTTCATAATCCAGTTGGAGCCCGCTAACAGTCTGACGAGGGGCAGATCTGAGTGTGTAAGCCAGTTGGGAAAAATAAGTCAGTTTTACACAGGAATTTGAAGATGAAAAGACAGTGCTGAAATGGGCATTTTAAATGAGAAAAGCATCAGGCAAAAAATCACAGAGGAAAAATCAACTGGTAACATAAAACCTTTTACTATCTTGCAAAAGCTGTTCCCTAGGAATTTATTGTGATAGGTTGTCCATTTAATAATAATGGGAGCCATGGCACAACTGGAGACAGTGACTGTCTTCTTTTAGAAATGGAAGAAACAGTCCGTCAACTAATGGTGAGCAAGTTTGGCCGAGTGATAGACCTAGAAGCTCTTCAGACGCTTTCTGTTAATACAACGCTTGAAGAACTGAAGATCAGAAAACTTCGAAAGGAGCTATCGAATGCAAAGGAAATGAAGATGTGGGAGGTGAGGAGGAGAAGGGCAGGTGATCTTCTTTGGTCGAATGTGGGTGGAAATAAGAAATCCTGGTGAGCTGTAAGTGGTTCCCGGGAAGCACCTGTGCAGCTGGAGCCGGGTCTGTGAGTTCTGCTCAGCTCCCCAGATCTGAGGGCTGTCTCGGCTTCTTTACTGTTCACTTAGTTGGAGGGATTTGTCTGTCTTGGAGTGAAAGCACCGGCATTGGGTTTCAGAGTTCAGGTTGCATATAAATATGATGGAAATGGATGAAAGATTGTAGAGAGATCCACTTTGAGGCCTACATTAACATATAAATGCTCTGAGAGTGTTAAAAATGGAACTGCTATCCTCTGAGGATTCTAATTATATTATTGTATAGGTTTTGCATGCTGTTCCAATTTGGAAATTGCAAATCATCTCTAAGTAATAAATTTTATAACCCTGCATAGACTATTTGGCTGGTAGGGTCTTAGAACCTGTTAATGCCTACATGCTGTCCCTGAGCTGTGAGATGAGAGTCCCTGGTTCCAGCCTGATTCAGAGATAGGAGCTTTTACAAAGATTTAATATGCCCACAAATCTTTATGATCTCTCCGATTTCCTGTCTCATCCCATCAGCAATTGGGGTAGGAGGAGAGGTTCCTAAGTGCTACCTTGTCCAATGGCCCTGTCTCATCTTTGCTAATCCAAGATTTACCACCACACTTTGAAGAAGCGAATTATTTAAGTGTTCATCTTAATGGAACTGGTCCCTATCAGAGGACTATTGGAGATAATCTGTGCAATCTAAAATAATTTTTTGGAGCAATAAGAGAACAAAAGAAAGCAATTATAAAGATGTATGGCCATTCAAGCCTTCTACCTTAAGGATCCTGGGCCAACACTGGGGAAAGAGCAATATATGGAAGTTTGTCACTTAAATCATCATCCTTTTATGTAATGAGTACCAGCAATCAGTCTGCATATTAGTTTCATTCCTCACCCATAGAGCAATCTGTATCTATCTTGTTTCTACCTACAAATATCCTTGAGCATACTTACATTCTTCTTCTCTTTAATCAAACCAGACCCAGTGCAGTTGTTCCTGGCTGTGTCTTCCTATTGGCTTCTGATGACATTTTGATATGTGCACATTGCTCCATTTGCCTGGTGATTTTGACCCAGTCTGGACACTCATTTTTCTCTGTCTCCTCGCTTATTCACTTAATCTATTTTGCATCTTCCTGACCTGGTAGGAAAAGATTGCTCAAGTGCGATGGGAACTAATGATGAAGACAAAAGAACACACCAAAAAGCTTCATCAGATGAATGATTTATGTATCGAAAAGAAGAAACTTGATTCTCGGTTGAACACACTACAGAACCAGCAGGTGTGTTCCTTTTCTTCAGACCCTTTTTCAGAATTGAGGAAGTTCTATAGAGGTGGCTATTCACAAGCATGTCAAGTGCTGGTATTTAAACAAATCTTGACCTTGGACTACTTCCAGGCCATCTGGGTCCCTGAGGACACTGAGTTGGTATCAGCCACATTACAGTGGACCTGAGGCACTAGCTTTATTGGATGCCTTTGGGTACCATGAACTTATGTAAGTACAGTCTTTAGCAGCGGTCCCCAACCTTTTGGCACCAAGGACCATTTTCATGGAAGACAATTTTTCCACTGACTGGGGTGGTGGTGGGAGGGATGGTTTGGGGATGATTCAAGCGCATTACATTTATTGTGCACTTTATTTCTATTATTATTAAATTGTAAAATATAATGAAATAATTATACAACTCACCATAGGTTGAGGAACCCTGATCTATAGGGTTTGCCTTGCTTCTAGAGAGGGATGTTATTTTGATATAAATTCATTATTTATATCATGCCAGTATGATGCCAGTATACTCCCTGAGTTTGGTGTCAAACATCCATTTCCAATCTGTTTATTTCATTTGACCTGAAGTGGGCATCTTGAATTGTGGAATGTTACCCTATTTAAATGCTTGTTACTTTTTGTGGGTTTCAATTTGCTGTTATATAAATATTAGTGAGCCTAACATAGTACTTAATACATAGTACATGGTGAATAATACTTATTTAAGAAGTGTTTACCTGACTCAAGCCTTGCCTTCTAGGGAACCTAACACCTATATGGCATATTCTAAACTATATGTTATATACTTAAAATATTATTTGCAAAAATGCCAATAGTTTCTCTTGGACTTCTTTGCTTTACATTTTCTTTAAGCACCCTGGAAATTCTAAGCCAGGTGTTCTCAGAGTATGGTCCCCTGAAGAACAGCATCAGCATCACCTGGGAACTTGTTTGAAATGGAAATTCTTGGGCCCCAGCCCAGATCTACTGCATCAGATGCTCTTGGGAAGGGGCCCAGTGATCTGCATTAACAAGCCTTCCCGGTGATTCTGATGAATGCTAGACTTTAAGAATCCCTGGCCTAAGCAAAAGTCCTCAAGTAAGAAAGAGTACTATTTATTCTGTGAAGAGTGAATAAGAGGATTTAGGAGGTTTATAATTGGAAATTAGATATGAAAGGAAGGCAAAAATTTGAATATTGAGGGCCTCTTATCCACTGGAGAATTTTTGAGTGGAGCATCAAAGCAGTAAGGTTAATGCCTAAACAAAATCTTCACAGACTAAGCAGTCAGCAAACATTTGTTGACTTGATGTGTTTTGATCAGTCCAGATGCGTTAGTGAGGAAAGGGCTTGGAGGCGGGTGATCAGTTGAATGGGAAAGGAAATTACTAGTATATGTTCTTTATGTAGTGTATCTTTATATAGCATATCCTTACATGTATAGTTTCCCTACATGGGATATCTCATTTAATCCCTAAAACACTACTTTCCAAAGCTCAGAGAAGTTAAGTAACTTGCTCAAGCTCTCAGAGCTAATGCATAGTGAAGTTAGTTTTTAAACCCAGGTCTGTCTGCCTCCAAAGCTGACTCCATTGCTTCTTACGATGATCAAGGTGTGAACTGGGATGTAGTTGGTAAAAACAAAAAAGCAAGTGTCAAAAGATATTTCAAAGTAAGAATAGCCAAAATGTGATTGAATGTGGTGAGGAGAATGAGGGGAAACTTAAGGTGATTTCAAAGTGACCGACTGGAGATGTGGCGTGAGCTGGTATATCAGGCATGCTTTTAGCCACCAGTAACCAAGAGCCCCACTGAGAGTAGCTTAAACAAATAGGAGTCCTTTTTCTCACTTGACAGAAATCTGGAGGGAGATGACTGCAGGTTTTAGCATATGGGCCCCTGATGTCAGGGCCAGTATCTCTGATTCTCAGCGTAGACTTTAAAGTCTCAAGACAGCTACTCCAGCTCTTTGTTTCACACCATGTGCCGGCCTCTTCTGTCCCTCTTATTAAGAGTGCAAAAGTTTTCTGATTACATCCACTTAGCCACCCCTAGCCGGAAGAGAAAATGGGTAGGATTAGTGTTTAGTATTCACAGCTTCTAAAATAAAGGCAAGCAGGGGAGAAGAGGCAGAAGGGTATTGAGTAACCCTTACTTACCACAAAGGTCTGCCATAGTAAATAGGGGTAATGGAAAAATCGTGGACTTTTGGCTTCAGGCAACTTTTTCCAGCCTTGTTTCCAGCCCTTAATAATACAGTGACTTGGGCCAGTTCATGAATTTCTCGGAGTCTAGCTTCCTTATCTGTAAACCTGTATTAACGGAGTCTAGCTTCCTTATCTGTAAACCTGTATTAACAACGCGGAGTTCAGAGTTGCGAGGATCAGATGAGAGAGCGTATGCAGAGCACCTTGCACTGAGTGGGCACTAGGTCAGTGTCATGTCCTTCCTTTAACAGATGTGTTCCTGTACGCACACCTTATTGAGCATCTCCTTATGTAACAAGCACTAGGGCAGGTACTGGTGCACTGGGGAGACTCACTTATATGGGGTGCCATCTCAAAAAGGCACAAGATCTAGCAGGAATGATATCAAATGAGCATCCAGGTCAAACCATCTGAAATTGCCATTTTTTTAAAACTAAAAAATGGTCAAATATTCAATTTCATAATTATAACAATGTATACTTATGATAGATGTTTGGACAGAACAGAGAAGAGGAAATTCTAACCTAGTCCATTGGTCAACCTAGTGCATGGCTCCCTGAAAGTGATATTGGAAGCATGAGCAGGAGTTGGCTGGACGGGGAAAGAAATCGGATGAGGAAACAGATTTCTTTCTAGGCACCAAAATATGGGCTGTATAGAAAAAGGAAGACATACCTTATCTTTTGTGATTCCAGAGATGAGCCCTCTAGGTAAAGGGTGCCTGAGAGCTAGCTTAAAGTGCTGCTCTTCCCAAGGGATTTGCATTTGAAGAGTTGTTCATTAGTACAGAGGTGCACATTTTAATAGTGGGATTCGAGCAGAGGAATTGAAGGCTCCTTAGATTAAGGAGCAGTAGCTATTTAAACTGATCATTAGGCTGGCACTCCTAACAGATACACAGTATAAGAAGAGGGAAATTTTCACATCCCAAATGATGCTTAAACATTTTCTTTCAACAGGGCAATGTCTTCCAGGGCCTTCGGAAAGCAGATATCTTGGCAAAGGAGAAGGTCACTGAATTGATCCAAACCCAGGCAGAAAGGATTTCAGCCTTAAAGGAGGAGATTGCTCTTCTGCGTAAGAAAGGTGGCCTTATCCTCCCACCCATTCGTCCCTCACAAGGGAATGAGATGGGGCCCACGGACCTTTGAGTTTGCCGTTTTTTTCAAACCCATCCAAGATTTCCAACATAATTCATAGAAGTTCTGTTTCCTTGTCACCTGCAACAATCCTATTCTTTTAAGGTGAACTTATCCTAAAAGTCTAAAAACAGATCCAGTCATGTAGTTTTAATAATTTCTCTCCAATTTAGTTATCTTAGAACTGAATGAAGCACCCAACATCTAATTATTATAGAACTGAACCATTTTAGACGTTTGGGATCTACTATATATTATAGATTGAATATGAAGTTTTAACAAAGCTGTATCTCACAATCGCAAGAAAGCATCTATAATATATTTTGTTTTAGGAAATTTTGATTTTCAGGTATTCTGAATTTTTAGCCCTTGGCAAGAAAAACTATCATTCAATAATCCATGAGTAAACTTCCTTTTCTTGATACTTGCATCCTTAGAAAACAAACATTGATGTTATTTTTCCCTAAGAGAATGCAAGAAAAAAAGACAAATTATTTTGCCAACAATATCGTAGAATAAAAAATGCAAATTCAAATTTTGGCACAGTCAACTTCATAAAGCAGTTGTTCGAAGGGCTCAGGATTCAGAAAATGTAGACAGACATAGCAGAGCAGTTTGCTTTAGTTTGCTTTTGGTTGGCAGAAAGGAAAATAACCGGTTTCCTGAATCGCCCATGGTTTTTGCCGACTTCCCAGTTCTGAGTGGAGCAGAGGAGGGAGATTTGCAAAATGGTCAATGAGGAGGCTTTTCCTTGAAGATTTTTGCAGCTCCATCAGAATTCTACCTATTGGCCACAGTTTCTCATGTCCTGTGCCATTTTTTTTCAGAATTTACTTGGTCATTTCCTGGTTTTGCTATAGATCAGGAAGTAATGAAATAGATTTACATGCCTCTGAGAGAGCATCTCTAACAATCACTTTTGATTCTACATAACATTTTAAACTAAGAGTATCCTTTCGATTTGGGGGTAAGTGATCACTGAAATTCATGGCTGCAACCATGGAAGAACAACCTCACTGACATTTGGAGTCCTGTTAGTAACGCGGCATCGCACTGTAGATTCAGAGCTCTATGGGTCTGCATTAAGGAGCTACTCAACTGAGGCTGTCCCAAGATAAGTCGGTCACTGAGAAGGAAAGGTGGAAGAACGCGATATTGCATAACTGTAAAAAGCAACTGAGCAACACCAAGTCTTCCTAACCGGTGATTAGCCTGCTAACCTGTCCTCCCAAATGATAGACAGGACTTGCTTTCTTTGTATGCTAGAATATTCTTAGAGGTGGCCACTTGGTCTATTGTCTCTCTATGATTCTTTTATATTCCTATTTAAGAGATCAGAATAGTTTATTGTTTGTATCTGTCATCATTAATTTCTGATGCGATTGCTTTTCTACTGGAGAGCACCCTTTTATCACTTTCTCTGCTGTATAGCCTAAACTATGTGTGCCTTTGAAGTATTTTTAAAAATGTGTTAGTCATATCTTTGAGTGTCTTATTTATTGCTATTTAAAAATTTACCCTAAAATTTAGCTTGGAACAACAAATTTATCTCACCCTACCTATTTTCTCAAACCCTCTCAAACCCCAGGGTTTCTGAGCGTCAGGAATCTGGGAGCAGCTTAGCTGGGTGTCTCTGGCTCATGGTCTCTCGTGGAGTTGCAGTCATACTGGGAATTGGGGCTGCTGCCATCTGAAGCTTGGCGGGAGCTGGAGGAGCTACTTTCAAATCCATACATTTGGTGGTTGGCAGGAAGCTTCAGTTCCTCACCACGTGGGCGTCCCCGTGGGGCTGCCCACAACATGACTCTCCCAGAGGGAGTGACCCAAGAGTGAGGGGAAAAGCAAGAGAGAATGACCCAGATGGAAGCCACAATCTTTACAACCTACTCTCAGAAGTGACTTTGCATCACTCCTGCCAAGCTGGTGTGATGTGGGAGGGGAGCAGACAAAGTGTGAATACCTGGTGGGGCTCACTGGGCGCCATGGTGGGGGCTGGATACACATGAATAACTGCCTGGGTACAGTGGTTGGTCTCCAAGAAAGATCTTGAGGAGACACTATCCCCTTGGTACTTGTGAGAACCAAGAGAAGTTACCTAATCTTCCTTTGCTTCATTTATTGTCTGACAAATGAGGAATCTATAAAAACTCTGAGGCTCCTTCCCATTCTGAAGATCTACAATTTTATAATGATTGCAGCAAAAATGAATTTAGTACACAGAAGACCCATGTCAAGGATTTCATTTGTATTTCAACTTAGAGTAAAACTAATCAGGATTATTATTTTTTCCCAAATTGAACTACACTATATCACTAGTTAATTCTACAATATTTAGGGCTTCATTCAGTGTGTTTGGGATTTGACAAGACAGTTAACATTCAATTATTTTATTTTCAATATATAAAGATATATTGATAGCTTTAGTTTCATTTCTACTTGATTCCAGACTTAGTCTGGACTTAAGACTGAGTTTTTGGGAAGTTAAGCTTCAAACAAAAGACCACGATTCACAATTGCACAGATGTGGAAACAACCCAAGTGCCCATCAATACATAAGTGGTAATAAAATGTGGTATATGTATACCATGGAGTTCTACTCAGCCACAAAACACAATGGTGATCTAGCACCTCTTGTATTACCCTGGATAGAGCTGGAGCCCATTCTACTAAGTGAAATATCACAAGAATGGAAAAACAAGCACCACATGTACTCACCATCAAATCGGTATTAACTGATCAACACTTACATGCACATATGGAAGTAACTTTCATAGGCAATCGGGCAGATGGGAAGGGGGAGGAGGGGATGGGTAAACTCACACCTAATGGGTGTGGTGCCCACGGTCTGGGATGGGCACACTTGTAGCTCTAATTCGGGCAGTGCAAATGCAATATATGTAACCTAAATGTTTGTACCCCGTGTAAAAATTTTGAAATAAAAAAAAGACCACAAGAGTGCAGCATGTGCAGGAGGCGGCCAGGAGGTGACGGGAAAGCGTCCTGCTCAGTCGCACTGCTGTCTGCCTCCTCCTGTGCTCTCAGAGGAGCAGCCTCACCTCTGAGGTGCAGCCAAAATTTAGCCTACGCTGAGTTAGTTGTGGATCAACTGTTAATATACCTTGGCTATTTCGAACTCTTGTCCATAGTGTGATGGCTGATCAATTGCAGCACTGAAAGAAAAAGAAGCTGAAGAGTCCAGTCCCTCTGTCGCAACTTCAAAGTAAAAAAAATTACTTGTTTCTCCGGAGTCAGCCTGTCCTGTCACAGGCCCATCCTCAGCTCTGCATCCGCCCCCATCAGCTCCCCATGACTAGGTCTTACTCTTCCTTTAGCAATTTAGGAAGTCTATGCTGACTGAATAAAAGCTTTAAAAAGGCACTGTGATAATAATTAACCTGAACCTAAAGAAATACAAAATAAAATGAAATTGAATATCTGAACTGTTTCATTTTCTGGTCTGAAATTTACAAGTCTGTTGTCCTAAACTTTTCCTTCTCTCCTGCAATTGGCTAAGGTAAATATACACATTTATCTAATTTAACATGCCTCAGAAGTGCTTTTTCTTCCCCTGGACTTTTTTTCGGGATGAGGGGGAGGTAAAGCCATTCAGTGTTGCGATTCCCATGCTGTGCAGAAAGCAGGTGTTTTACATATCATTAATACAAAATTTACCAAACTTTATTTTGGCAACTACCTTAGATCATCAAGGAGAAAAAACAAAGGAGACTTTTAAAGAGCCAGTGGGCTAGAAGGTCAGTTACAGAGCTGAGAGCTCCTGGATTAGCGAAGGGAAGATTGAGAGCAGCAGCCCTGCCCGCTCCAGGAAGTGACCTCTGTGCCCTCAAAGCCATGTTGTGTCCGAAATCACAATATCTTATTGCTTCTCTGCCCCGCTCTACTTTAATTTTTAAAATTCTGCTTTCCATTTTTGAAAATCACGTTACGTTTCCATGAGAGTTCTCACATTTAGCTGTTTGGTGGGAAAAGGATACAAAAGGGTGCTGCCTTCCTTTTGGCCAGCAGGGGGTGCGCTTGTCCTAAACAGTCAAGAGTTTGACTCGATTCTTCCACGTTCTCTAGGATGGTGTTTATCAAAATCTTTGTGATTAGAAGCCAGGGCCTGGCATGACTTAAAGTGATTGTCTCAGGTGGCATTTCACCTGGAACCCAACATTACTGAACTCTAGAAAATACATCCCACCTCGGACCACCCCCCAAAAGAACTCAGTTTAAGTGTGTTAGGTTTCTCATTGCAAGCTTCGGTCTCCGTCTAGTTCGAGTTCTACAGATAAAAAATGTTAGAAGTTCAATTTAAAAAAGAATGAATGGTCGATCCTTTGGTTGGACAACAGTAAGTAAATGTGGGTTTTAAACTGGTGAGTCACCTACTCCAGCAGTGTTGGTGTATCTTTGGAAAGAAAGGAAGAGAATTTATCACGCACAGTATGTTCATGTGTAGGTAGCATAGCACTCAACTAAATGGTATTTTGGAGAAAATATTTGGTCTTCAACACACACATGTATACGAAAAGGCTTAGTTTCATTCCTTCAGTATGACCAAGGCTCTAGTCCAGTTAGTAAGAGACCTGGGAGGGACTCTGCTTCTCCTTGCCTGTTGTATAGCGTCTCCCTCTTGGACTAAATAGTCAGTACATTCTGCATTAATCAAAACAACTGGCATTCAGTGTTTAAAAAGACAAAAAAACAAAAAAGAGAGAAACATCTTCTACCGTTTCCAGATCTCATCTCTTGATGGATCTGAAAATGTTATAAGCAGGTGGGTATTTTCTTCAAATCCTCAAAGACTGAATTCTAACATCCAAAGAAAATGCTGACTCACATGTGACTAAGTTGAAGGTTACAGGGAAGACTAAACATTTATTTAGAAGTTACAGTGTTTGTTTTTACAGAGATATGCTGCCACAGATTATTGATTCTGGAAGATTTGTTAATGCTTATAGTGCTGTACACATCTTAGTCTGTTCTCATGGGCATCTTAGGAAAACACTTCCCATGGCCCCAGCTCCAGCCATCTTCACGCGTTCTCCAGGCTGTGATACCGCGGCCCTCCCTCTCTGCCTCGCGGTCATCATGAACAATGAGCCGGGATTCTTCCCCATCGGCTTCTCCGTGGGCCTCCTGCAGCCTCCCGCGGTCGCAGAGGTTCTGAGTGAGGAGTCTGTGTTCTGGCCAGTCTGCATTAGTCGTTCCTGCTCGACTCCTGTTAAAGTTGTGGCTTCTTTGTTTTCCCTATTGTACCTCAATGGGTAGGATTCCTTATGTTTCTCCAGAATTATAAAAACACATATACATATATTTACAAGTGCATAAATATATAAATATGGCTATAATAGAAAAATAAATACCAATTTTCTCTGTCTCTTAAAAAAAAACAAAACAATATATAGTCTTTCTGGGATATTGGCTTCTGCCTAAACTGTGGGAGGTGGTGTTTCAAAGGACACATGAATCGGTGGGCTGGGAGAGAGCCGCATCCCAGGTTCCTGTCTTACGTAGGCCCCTGGGGGGTGCTGGGGACACCAGTCTCCTCTACCCACTTGGCAGGAGTCAGAACTGTCCACCTCTTCAACTGGTACAAGGCCCAAGCAGCACGGGGGCCCTGTGAGGGAGAAAGATTAGGAAACATTAAAATCTACACTGACCGAGGCATCAACACTCAGTGGTGCTGGGTCTGTCTCTATCTGTGGTGGAAACCGGTTACACGGTCCCTGAAGGGTGTCTATGCTCCCTCCAAGGTCTCCCCCTGACATGGGATACTCAAGCACTTAGCCTGCACCCCAGCTGCATGGGAAGTCAGCGGAGCCCACGAAATGCAGGAGGAGACCCTGCTCTTTCTAGATGCCAGCTGCTGGTCCACCCTTCAGTATGGCTGCTGGTTATAACCATCCCACGCACAAGTCCTTCACCCCCGATTGACAGGGTCCGGTCTTAATGACGCTGGGTCTGGCTCTAGGTCTTCTAGAATTTAATCTCCCAGAGACAGGGCCCAGATCTGCATGTGAATGGACATGCACACCAGAGAGGCTAATAAATATCAGCCAGTCCTCTGAGCCAGCCTGTGCCCTCACCAAGCGTCCACTGGCTTCCAAGGCACAGAGGGAGACAGTGAGATGAGGGTGGCATGAATGGCCCCGAGCCCCCTGGAGAAAAAGTTCTGTGGAAGCACAAAGACTTCTGATGCTGTCTGTAAGGACTTTGTTCCTTAAAATGACTGACGCAAACTTATTCCTTAATTAAGAGACAAGCCCCAACAAAGCAAGGTATTTTGGAGTGATTAGAGAATGCCTCTTTGTGTGATGAGGTGCAAAAGGAATTTGTGAATGCTCTTGAAATGCAGAGACCAAAGGGCTTCTTTCTCTGAAATGGAGACGTGTCCTTATTCTTAGCCTTTGAGGACCACAGCTTGTAATGTTGGAGTAGGACCCACCCTGGTCACCCTATAGACCGACTGGGCCTTCGGCGGTGAAGCAGAGTAGCCAGCCACCCTCCACACCCCGTCATCTCTCTCTCCTCCAAATCGCTCCTGGGGGGTGGATGTCCGCCTCATGTCATCTCCGGCCTGTTCAGTTTTCCCACCGAGCCCCGGCACTGACCTGAGTGAAAAGGGGGGCCCCATGTTGCTTCCAGTCCAGGACACTCAGGGACACTCCTCATGCCTGACCGGCTCGTGGCAGCTGGCTGCTCCTGGAGGCGGCAGCAGTCTTGGTGGGGCTGGAGCAGCTGGTGAGTTGAGTCATCAGGCAGTGTGTATAAGAAAGAGCCCTCGTCTGGGCTAGACTTGGGACCCCTGCATGGCACAAGACCAGATGGGGAGTGAGGTGGGGCAGAGGGGGCCTGGCCCCCCACGCCTCTGTGGCTGCCTCCCTGTCTGAGGGTAGTAGGGCTCAGAGGGGCCTCTGAGCATGAAGTGCACCACGCCATCGTTCCCGCTGATAATTCTAGTCCATTTCCACCTTGCTCCACGTGGCAGGACGTGAGTGAAGCCAGGTGTCCGGGGGCCTGTGGGCAAAGCCAGTTGTATGTGGGTGTTTCTGGCCTGCCTAGGGAGGGGGGATTCTGAGGAACCAACCCATGCCCCCAAGCAGAAAGGCCATCATGATTGCAAACAAAGCGACTGCGCATTAGGGGAACGGCCAGCAGGCAGGGGTGTCAGATCTGGGGCTCCCTGAGTGCAGCACGACTCCTCGGCTCTCGGGGACTGCCTTGGGTTTGGGGACCTGAAGAGAAAGTGAGGCTCTGGGGCTTGGGAGTAAAAGGCAGGGGTGGGGAGGGGCGTGGTTACCTGATGACCTGGTGACTCTGGGGGTCGTATCCATTGCCAAGAATGGTCTGCCTCAGCAGGCTGTTGGTGTCACTCTGCTGCTCAACAGGAAGAGGAACGAAAGTCATGTCAGGGAGTCCAGGTAACTTCCAGTTTGCTGATCAACAGGATGACCTGTTCTTGACCCAAGAGAGCCCGGCCCAACAGCCCAGGACGAGGTGGGAAGAGGACGCCGCCAGCCACTCCCCCCTCGGTGGCCCACGCCTGCTGCCCGCGCAGCCGGGAGCACGCTACCTGCGGAAGCTCCCCGGGGCAGTGCTGCTGGGGTCTCGCGCCTGGGCCGCCCATTGCCGCCGCGGGGCAGCCCCTGTTCACAGGGGCCCCACCGCTGCAGGCCCGTCCGCTGACGCCGCTCAGGTAGGGCTGTCCGCTGGCCCGGTGGCCTGGGAGTCCTCCCAATGGCACCATAGTGTACTGGCAGGAGGAGGGTGGGAGGACACTTCGAGGAAAGCCCAGGTCTGTTGTGTGTTCTGGAAGGACAGAGGACAGAAGCATGTGTACGCCAGGGCAGCCACGGGCAGCTTGAGAAAGCCCCACATGGACTTCAGGAAACTCGTGACCACACTGGTTCAAGGACGTAGGCAGGGAGCTGACACTGCCCAAGGGAAGGACAACATTTTCTCTCAGAATCTCCTTCCTGTCACCCACTCCTTCCTAACATCCGGACTCTTCTGCAGTGAGGAGAAGGGTGGGGAGACACAGCAGCAAGCGTTTGCGGGAAGGAGGCGGTGAGTGAAAAGGAGCAATATTTGGCAAATTGGCCAGATGTGTTGCCATTTGAAGCAGAAATTGGTGACTAAAAGACAGATTAGCCCAGGATGAGGGGGACAGCTGAGGGCAGCCAACTATAAGTATGAACAAGAGGTCAGAGAAGCAGCTTCAGACACTAGAGGAAGATGGAGCCAGCTAAGTACCGAGCTCCAGAGACGCAGAGAGGACAGTTAACCTCCACTTCCTTCTGCTCTCCTCACCGAGGTCTGTGAGCCGGGAGGGAGTGGCCCAGACTCTGGGAGTTCTTCAGGGCACCCCAGGGCTTCAGCTGCCATGGACCTGCCCTGGGCCGGGGCCTCCCGGGTGGGCTGGAGGCGCCTCTCTCCTCCCGGCCTCCTCCCCTTTGCTGTGGCGCAGGGTCACTCACTCACTTTGCTTAGCCCAGGCCCTCCACAAGCAGAAGGGGATGAAAGTGACGATGATGAGGACGATCGAGCCCAGGACGACACCGACAATCAGGTAGGGCAGGTCGCTCGAGCGCGCCACCATGGCGCCAGCGCCCACTGGCCGCTCTATGGTTTCAGGAGGGGGTGGCTGTGGCGGGGGCAGGGTTGCGGGCGGGAGACGTCCAGGCTGACCGGAAGACTTCCGAGCTGTGGAAAAAACTCACTTCAGCATCTATTTCTCTGACATTTCCTTCACAACAAATAGGAAAAAAAAATACCCCAGTTCCATGGGTGTAGGAAATGAGGTCAAACTCACGAGATAGGGCCTCCAAATCCCTTATGTGAATGATGGCCATACTCAGTGTGACATTGGCATCTAATGTGAAATGTGGTATTATATTTTACAACACGACCTGAGATATTTGTGAGACAAGCACAATAGGCGAACTGTGTCCTTTGGGCAGAAGTGGTGTAGTGTTTTCTGAAAGAATAACTGGTGAACTTTGGGAAGAAACTATTTAAAATGCATGAAACCAGCAAAAGGACTGGTAATGGAAGGATTGACCCAAAAATTTGCTACTGCTGGGGGGATTGAGAGAGGTGAAGTCCTGGGTATTAGCTTGGGTCTCAGAGCAGGGAGACAGGCGTCCCGGGACTCACTAGGACAAACAGCCGGGAGACGCCAATTCACAGGTGAGGAGGCAAGGCTGTCCACTGCTCGCGTGTTACGGGGCGCGGCTGGCACTGCTGACTCTCGCAGCCGCCCTCTCCCCTGACTCATTTCCCCACCGCCCCTCTGGCTGCTGCTTTTTACACTTCTCCTTCCCTGCTCTCTGTTTCTTCAGATGCTGGGAGACCTTCCTGCCGCCTCTGGGCCTATACCCTCTCTGTGTGACCTCACCTAGTCCCCAACCGCCACCTCTATCCTAAAGACTCTGAAGTCAGTCTCCCCACAGACCCCTCCTCTGCGGCAGGAGACCTGCTGCTTCTCAGACACTTCATCTCACTGTCGCCAAAAATTCAGAGATTCGGTAAGTCCCCTTGTTCCTTTCTCATGAAACCTGCTTCTCTGCTTGCCTTCCCCATTTCAGTAAGTGGCACCGTCACCTGTGTGGTACTTCAAGCCAGAAACCACAGTCGACTTTTAACTCTTTCCACTCTCCCCCAGCCCCAGCAAGCAGTCCTGGTCCTGCCCGCCCCTCCTCAGGACAGAGACCCAAGCCCATCCCTTCTCCTTCCTGTAACTTCAGGGCCCAGCTCTCTCCCCTCAGCGTGCTCCTCACACGGTAGCCAGGGACCATCTCAACACGCAAATCCAACAGGGACCCTCCTGCACCTCACAGCCCGGCGTGCCCAGTGCCCACCACAGGACACGGAGTGTCTGGCCTCCTCCCTGAGTTCTCCCTCCCCCTCCTTCCCGGTGCTGGACACTCCAACCATCTGGGGCTGCGTCCAGGCCTGTCCCCCAGCCCTCTCCCTCCTCATTCTAGCCCCAGGTCAATCCTCCCTGAGGGCCAGTGGCTTTCTGAGGCCTCTGTCCTTTTCCCTGGTGCAGCTCTGTGTAGGCTGGTGTGGGGGTTTGTCTGGGCACCTATCTGCCCCTGCACTGTACGTGGCCGAAGAGGGCGGCAAGTGCACACAGCAGGCGCTCGGTAAGTATCTGCTGAGTGACTGAAAGCAGTGGGAGGTGGGAGAGAGAAAGCTGTTGCCTCAGAGACAGGAGATGTGTTGTCTCCATTCCCACTACTTTGTGATCTTCTGATTATGTTCTTTGCGATGTATCTGCTTATCTCACTTTCAGTATCTGCAAAATGGAGATAATGATATCTCCCCACCTGACCAATGTGCGAATTAATAAGTTAGTATGTGAACACGTTTAACATGTTTCAGTGCAGAGGAATGGCCAGGGCCTGTAGTGAGACAAACCTGGTCGAAAGCGTGCCCCCCCACTAACTGGCTGCATGACCTTGGCCGAGGTACATAGTTTAATGATGCTCAGTTCCTTCCCCATCTCATGGGGTTGCAGTTACACAAACCAACCAACATAAGTGCCAAATGCTACTTCAGGAATAAAGTAACTGTAGGAAGTTCCCAACCTAAGAATGGGATCTATCCTATGAGTTCATGGATGACTTAATTCCCAAGTTCTTTGACGTCATCATGATGGCAACCCACTCATACTTAGAATGAGGCACAGACAAACGAATAGAAGAGTGAAAAAATGATAAAGTATGGGGCTTCTTGGAAAATAAGAAGTCTTCTAGGAAAGAAGCACCCAGCATGACACAGGGAACAGTGACTTTATCCTAGTTTTCTGGAAACAGCAAGAAGGGAGCGAAGAGCCCAGAGAGAATCACCTTTGGTCTCACAGATCATCACGTTGCTGAACTCGCTCTCCCCTCCTTCGTTGAAGCACTGCATCTTAATGTCGTAGGAGGTCTCTGGCTGCAGGTGGCTGATGGAGTGCCAGTACCTATCCCCTGGGAAAGAGAGTGAGAGTCGTGTGTGGTGACATGTATGTTGTTTGCCTGTCTCTGATCTCACAGTCAGTCTCAGATAGGGCTGTGTGTATGGGGCAGTGCCACTGGGTGGCACGGGGTGAAGAACCCAGGAGGAGTTGTTCCTTGTTGTCCCACCACCATGGGAAGGAAGCGCGTGCATGAGTGAACGGCAGCCCTGAGGGTGTTATGGATGAGTCAATGATACAGAGCATGGATGCTTCGTGCCACACCAGGCCCGTGTTTTATGCTTTACTGGGTTTCACCAATACCCAGACCCCGTGCCGGTGGAGGAAACCATGTTACACAGGAGCGCTTCTCACCTTCCACCATATCCTTCTTGTAGTCATTATCATTGTCACTGTCCGTGGGTCGATAGTAGATATAAAAGCCATGGATCGGGGTGTTGTTGTTACTCGCTGGGATATACTACGGGGCGGAGAAGAGACAAGCCGACAATGGAGCAGAGAAATCATCACTGAAGCAGGCCCACTGGTGTATGGAAATTCATCCCATCTAGGGTTTGACCTTCACTGGGGGCCCATGGCAAATATTTCTCACGCTACCCTGAGGTTCCCTGAAGAATGCTGTGATGATTACTCATATTTTCTTTAGCCTAGAAGTGCCCAGGCTTTTGGAGAGAAGGAACAAATTGCCATTTCTCCGAAGACTTAAATCCCCTCTGAACCCTTCCAGGCATATGAGGGTTAGTATCTCTGGCTAAAAAGGGACCCTGAACAATTATGCCGGGATTCCCTGTGGTGCCAGGGGAAGGGCAGAAGGAGGGTGGGACATAACCTGAAAATGAGGACCAGCTTGGAGGTCTACCAGGGAAAGGCCCCCAAACAGCAGCTCCAGCTTACTAAGAGCCTCCCAAGTTCCACCAGTCGGGCTTTCAGGTGCACTGAGCAGGGGAGCCCACCCCCAGGCACACGGTGGGGGACGTGTAGGGGAGGCATCTTAGGAGAAGTGCCCAGGCAGGGAGGGCAGCCAGCTCCTGCAGACATAAGCCTGGGCCCGCCTTCCCAATGCGTCCGAGGCTAGACCCGCTTACCATCCACTTGAGCATGATGGTGGTCTCGTTGACGGCGTCCGTGAAGGTGATGTAGGGGCCTGCCACGGGCCTCTCGTACACACGGCCGCTGTAGCCTGACACCACGTAGGGCCGGGACGGCGCGCTGGGCTCGCTCTCCCCCAGCATGTTCAGAGCCCGCACTCGGAACTTGTAAGAGGTGCCTGGCGAGAGGGGCACCCACCGAATCAGGAAACGGCAAACATCTTCTGACTGTCCCTGGCCCATCAATCCCTGGGCCTAGAGGACCTTCCGGGCAGCCCTTCCCCAAAGCAAGTCCTCAGAGGACTCACAAGAACTCCTGTGCTCATCAGAGAGGAGCCCACAGGAAATGGCTCTGAGCCCCGTTATGGGAGAGGGAGCAGGAAGGGCTTGCGGACTGAGATAAGCACCACAGGTGGCATCGTATCCGCGTGCGCAAGGAGGTCTGAGCCAGAGAAGAGCCTCTGAGGCTCATCCTCCTCCTGTAGGTGGTGAGGGGGCAGGTGGGGAATCAGGAGGAGCGTGGCCAAGCCCCTACCTTTCTCCAGGCCTGTGATCTCCACAGACAGCCGCGAGGGAGGGATGGCACTGGTGGCCAGGATCCAGTCTCCCACTTTCTTGAGCTTCTTGTACTCCACCCGGAAGGACTGGATCGGGAACCCACCATTCCCTCGGGGAATCCAGGTCACGTAGACTGAAGTCTCAGAGGCCATGGAGATAGTGGGCCTGTCCGGAGCTTCTGGGGCTGGGGAAGACCGCATAGGTTGAGGAGAGAAGCAGGAGGGACACAATGGCAGGACGCTGTATTCCGACTGGCCACGGCTGCCCCAACAGGGCCTGCTCCTCCCCAGCCCTCACCCACAGGTGTGTGCATCACACCTACCCACTGCTGCCTGGCTGCACTGGGCCAGCAACCCCAGCTTTATCTGAAAAGCTCCAACCTATAACTCCTTATTGTGGTTAACTGGGGAGATGCCAAGAGAATGACATAAGGACTCCTGGACCTTCTGAACCATGACCCCATCCAGCTGCAGCGGTGGCCCTCAGGAGCAGCTCAGTCCTGATGGGCATCCCCCCGACTGGTTGCTACTGGGGCTTACGAGACAAGCGGCCGTGGTCCGGCTGGCTGCTGCTCTGGGGACTGGCCCCAGGGTCATCTCTCTGGATCTGCTGCTCCTTGCTGGCCACGATCTCGGGTTTGGGCCGCCGTCCTGGGTGGAATTGGGTTGAGATCAGCAAGGGTGGGAGCACGCATTAGGTCTCCCTCCCCAGAGTGAGACTCTGCCGAGGGGTGTGACAATGCGGTACAAATAAGAACACAGGGCGCTGAAAGCGTGGTCTGATTTCCAGCTCTGCCTGACTACATCAGAGAGGGACAAAGGGATGCCCGAGTGGCCTACTGGTGACTCTCCTGATGAGAGATGGGACCTTACGTGGCACACAAACCACAGGGAGGCAGTAGTGGGAAGGAAAAATAAAGTTCAAGGTGAGTAGCTGGGGCAAGGAGAGCAGGGATTCCCACCTGGGCCTGGTGGGACTCCCTTGGACCCATGGAAATCCCAAGCTAGGGCCGATGTTTGACTCTCACCAGTTCGGAAGGTGACCATGGCTGTCTGGCCCTCGCCCGCGCAGTTGTACGCTGCCATCTCCACTTCGTACAAGCTCCCGGGGTCGAGTCTGGTGAGGGCCAGGCGGTGCTGGTTGGCCGGAATGCCGGAGATGGTCCAGTCATCAGAGGAGTTGGTGACCTGCTGGAGAAGGTAGCTGGTATAAGGACCAGCATCTCAGCCCAGAGCTGCAGGTCGTGTGTGGTTTGCAAGGAAAGCAGAACTGAGCCCAAGAGGGCCGGAGGAGGGCAAGGACAATGGGCCAGGCAGGGGAGGGTGGCCTCCTGGCTATGGGACACCCCTCTCACTGGGACAGTCAAGTCAGGCTTCCAGATGCCTCAGGTAATGATGCCATCCAAGCGACCTCAGTGGGGAAGGTCGGGAGGCCTGACTTGTGCTGCCCAGAACTCCAAAGACCTCCTCCCCCTTGTATTTCCAAAAACCTCCCTGTTTTACTTCCTTCCTCTTTGCTGTACTTAAACCAAACACAGTTCCTTCGGTTTATATTCTAATGAGGGACAATGACAAGAAAGATAATAAAAGCTGCAGCACCAGTAGAAACAGCAACACTCACTGAGAGCTTACTATGTGCCGGGCAGGGAACTGAGCACTTTATATGCACGACCTCATTTTTCCTCACGACAGCCCAAGAGATCGGTGTCAATGTTGTTTCTACTTCACAAACGAGGAGATTAAGGCTTAGAGAAATGAGTGATTTGCTCAAGGCCACACTGCTGGAGCACAGAGACTGTGACTGGACTCCAAAGAGTGTGCTCGTAATCATCCCCTCTCCTAGGAAGACATGGGGGCCAGGGGGCCTGGGTCTCAGTCCGGTTGTGCAACTCTGAGCAACTCCGCTCTGACCCCCAAGCTTTGCACTTTTAAAATGAGACAAATAAAATCTCTCAGGTTACTCTGAAGAGTCAAGAGATGCCTCACATAGTGCCTCGGCCTGAGCCTGGCGCACAGCGGGTTCCCTTCCGTGGACCCTCCCCACATGCTCCGCTCAGTGAGGTTTCTGTCATTTCGATCCTCTTCTTTTCTGCTCCTGCCCTCAGCCCTTGCTTAGAACTTCATCACCATGGATGATCAGTAACTATTATGGGTTACTCTTTCATGGCTTCTGCTTCTTAGCTGTTCAAACCCACAGAAAAAAATAAGGAAGCTCTGGGCTTCCCTACAGGTGATGCCGAGAGGCTGCTTCTTCTCATCTCCCCCACCTTTTAGGACAAGAGTCAGCTGCCAGCCCTGCACGTCTCAGAAAGCCTGCTGGAACCTGACGCTGTGGTTTGATGAAGGAAGAAAACAGCTGGTGGGAAAAGCTCTTACTTATCCCAAGCAGAATATTCCAAAGTAGAACAAAACCTACCATTCAAGGCACAGGGATGGTCTGGGCTCATTAATGTCAGGCTTCCAGGACTTGTTCCAAGGGGAGAAATTTTTACAAACTTGGAATCCCCAGTGGTGCTGGAAACCCAAACACAGTAGCCCAGGGTCTGCAGATGCACCAGGCAATGAAACTCGCTTTGTGCATGTGAAAAAGTGAAAATTAGCCGAATGATTCCCTATCCCCAGCAAGAGAAGGGGGCTGAAAAAACAGAACGCAAAGGCTAACTTTTGATTTCAAAATGCTTTCTTGGGTGATGATCTTTAAGACACGTTAGTTCCGCAAGAAAGGAACTGCTTTCAAGCCAGAGCTTCTGCCTTGGCAACGCCTGCATGGCAGCCCCAAGAGCCCCACGGGCCGGAGCCCGAGGGAAGCCAGACCCAGCAGGTGCCCTGCGCCCCTGCACCCCTGCCCTCCTAGCGCTGGCCTCACACTTCCACTGGGCCCAGAAACGAAAGTAAGAAACAGAAGGGTAATTAGTCACTGTCACACACACTGAGAGGGGGAATGCAGCCTCGGCCTGGCATTTCCGGATCACCACGGCATGGCCTTTGCCAGCCTGCCTCTTGTGTGAGGCTGTTTCGTGGCCACCTATTGGCCTGAAAAATATTATTCTTGCTATCATGCTGGTTTTTGTCTCCTGGGAAACATGGGTGTTTGGCCTGCCTGGATCTTTGTCTACAACTCTGAGATGGAGGTGTCCAGTTACACGGGGAAATAAGGATCAGGATCAGCCCTGCCCTGTAATGGGAGCTGAACAATGCCGAGTTTGTTACAAACTCGTTCACCTCCTTTGCTGGCTGCCTATGAAGAGGCCAGCAGGCGGAGGGTTAATGAGGAACTGCCCTCACCCCATGCCCCCACCTGGGAGGCTGCAGAGGGGGCAACGTGGGATTGCTCTGCCTTGGGTGTCTTTCTGATGACCACAGAGTCCCTGTGGACTTACCCTGACCCAAGGTCTTCTAGGAGAGCAAGTAAGGGACAAGAAAAAAACAGAACAAGTTAGGGGTGGGGGGTCCAGGACAGGGAAACGGCTTCTGCACAGCCAAAGCTTTCCGCTGGGCAGGGCTGGCTCTGTTTTCTTGTTTGTTTCGGGAGGGGGAAAAAGTGAATAAATACTTTTAGTTCCACATGCATATAGTTTCCATATTTTCTACCAAGTGCACATAATATTTTTATAACAAAGTAATATAAATGCATAATGAAACTCAGCATTTATAATATGCTATTACTTGTCAAATAAAATTTTTAAAAATCCATTCAAGAACTGTTTAATGGCCTTAGAAAGAAAACAGCATATATTGGGGTGAACAGGAATGTTTTCAAGGACATCTTCTTACAGAGATTTCATGCCCTCTTCCCTGTGGGGTCACAGTAGGCAAGAACACAGCCTTGGGGGACAGGGGCAGCTGGAGGCCCTGTCCTGCCTCACAGCGTCGGGACCATGGGCCTGACTCGGCCCTGTCCCCACATCCCGTCAGAGCCTGAGACTCCCTCCCTGACAGCTCCTAAAGCCTTCACCCGGACAGACTTCCTTCTGTCAAGGAGAAATGGCTAAGGTCTGAACAACACGATGTGCTTTGAGCTCAAATACCTGCTTGTCAAACCCGAGCCATGACAAATTCTGAGAACTGAGGGGGTATTTTATAGCCCACAGAGAAAACACTTGTTCACAAATATTTGTTTTCCTGGCTTTAGAGCTAGCTTACCGTGCCAGAGTTCCTGCAGGTATGTACCTAGCAGAGCTTACTGTGGTTAAAAAACAAAATGAAACAACATCAACAACTAACGACAGAGGAAAGGGGAGGGGGGCGATGGTTAGCAAGGAGACTGTTCACTGTCTCTGCTGGGACTCGAAGCCGGTGTGAGTGTCTGGCAAACGGGTGCACAGAGCTGGGACCTGGGGGCACACACGGCTCTCCCCTGGGCCCTCCAGGGCCCACATGCCCATCTCACACCAGCCTCCTGGGGGGCAGGGAGATGTGCTCTGGAGGACACAGAAGGCATGCTCAGCCGTGGGGTTACTGGTGCAGGTTTAACGCCCAGGAGGCGGAGAGACCCCGCTCGGGTCAGTGAAAGGAGGCCGTGTGGGGAGAGGGTGGCACGATGCCAGGGCCGTGGCTATACCTTGCGGTGTTTCACCACGTAGTAGAGGATCGGCGCCCAGCTACTGCCCTCGTGTCGAGGCCGCCACACCAGTTCGTAGGAGTCTGTCTTGGAGGTCCGGGGTGAGCTGAGGATGATGGGGGCCTCGGCAGGTGCCGCCTGCCCCTCCTCTTCTGGGCACTGTGGGGAGGCAGGCTGCACTGACGGCGGGGACCTGGAGAGCCCCGGTTGGCCCCTCAGCATCTGGTCAGTGCGGCCAGGTCTGGGGGGTGGCGCAGGAGGTGTGGCAGTGGCCAGCCTGGCATCCTGCCAGGGCCTCAGGGTTGTGCCTGGGGGACCAACAGGAAAGAAAAGGGAAGGGAGAGGCTGTTAGTCCCCTGCAGAGCTGCTGCCCCCAAGGAGGACACAGAAAGGAGACAGAGAGAAGACCTGAGCCAACCACCTGCCCGACCACTGGCTGGCTCTGTGGGAAAATGGCCGCAAGCCCCTGTCCCACCAGAGGGGAAGGCAGCCTGGCCTGTGCCCGGCCTCTTGCTGTGGCTGGGGGCATCTCTGCAACCTGCTGTTTCCCTGAGTCCACACCAGGTGTGTCTTCAGTGAACTATTCCAATTTGCTCCTGAGGCACAAGGACCCTACACCTGCCTTCTCAGTCTAGGCTGAAGATGGAGCATGTCCCTTGATGTGGTATCTTAACACCGTGGCGCCAGGGTCCTTTTCCTACTCCACCGAGGTGACCTGAGACTCGAGGCGTGAGGCCAACTGGGAATACCCTCTGAGAATCTTAGAGGCCAGTGGGGACAACACTTCCTTCAGGAAGCTTCCACAGACTCCACCAGCACTAGTCTCTCCTCTACCTGACCTCCCCCACCACAGGACATTGACACCTGATCATGTTGACTCGGCATGGCATTACTCATTGTATTTTTCTCAAATTGCTTCCTTGGCAAGCTACATCCCCTCCATAGGAAAGTTCTCGAGGGGAAGATCTTTGTCATGTTGTTGTGCACCCCACATTACCCAACCCCAGTGCTGAGCACACAGCGACTGCTCAGTCGGTACAGGCATCAATTAGGATGAAGCAAGCTGAGAAGGACACTTGCTTTTCCTTGCCCTAGGGCAGTGGTTGCCAAACTGGGTTCTGTGGAACCCAAGGAACCACTAGATTCTGCAAACAAATAAAAAATTTTTTAAAAATATAATTAAATGATTCATTTTCATTAGTGAAAATTTATACTTCTGATTTATGAATAAGTTAATATAAATTCGAACTTACAACTAAAAGCTACTTTTATCACTACATAACTGGGGTTTTAAGTTGGATTTCTTTCGAGAAAAGGATTCTGGGAATGTTCAGCTGCAACTTCAGACCTCTGGGCTGCACTCACCTGGCCTGGCAGTCCTCAGCTGGACCACGGCGTGAGCGCTCCCAACTTCATTCTCGGCCATGCACTGGTAGATGCCTTCATCCTCGGGCCCCGCACTGACCACGCGCAGGGCCCTGCGGGACAGCCGCAGGCGCTGGCTGGAGGTGAGGGGCACAGCGTTCCTCAGCCACAGCACGGAGGGCGGGGGGTTCCCACGCACCTCGCAGGTCAGCTTGGCACTCTGGCCCCATGGGATGACCAGCTGGGACAGCTCCATGGTGACCTCGGGGGGTTCTGCCGGGAAACCAGAGCAAGGTGAGAAGGGCCGTGTCTTCCATCCCAGGGCCAGACGGGCAGGGGGGGTCACGGTCAGGAGGGGCTCCCTCCTTCCCCTTGGCTGTGGCTTTTTCCTAACCGGCACGGGTAGAGGGAAGGAAAGGTCCCATGTCTCCACCATCAGAGTCACAACAGGAAAGGGAGGAAAGAAGACTCCAGGACCACATGCTCCAGTCCCCTGGGATCCGAGGAGCTCTGACTCTTCAGTGTGCCTCTGTCACTCACTTAGCATGTGGCCTTTCACAGGACACTAACATTCCCTGAGCCTGGGCTACATGCTTCTAGAAAGGCTGTGCAGACCAGAGAGGAGGCCAAGGAGAAGGCTCACAGCAGATCCTCACCGAACACCTGGACGTTGTAGAGGATGACGGCTGCCCCGGGTTCCCCGACCCCGTTGTCGGCCATGCAGCGGTAGGTCCCTGAGTCCTCCTCACTGGTGGTGTCAATGAGGAGGTTGCTCAGCAGGAAGCGCGTCTTGTTGTAGCCGGTGACACTGGACCCATCCTTGGCCCACGTGACCCGTGGGGGTGGGATCCCACTGGCCACACACTCCAGGATGAGACTCTGGCCTTTGGTGACAATGATGGTTTGGGCCTCTGGGGGGTAGATGATGCGGGCAGCCTCTGCGGTGGAGCCTGTGGGGGATGAGGGGGAAGGGCAGACAACGTGTGGACCAGGACATCCTGCCAGGAGGCAGTCCCAGGGATGTGATTTGGGATCAGACAGCCCTTGAGGGGCTTAGGACCTACACAAAGTAGGGCAAGTTCCTTTATCCCCCTGGGCCTTGGCTTTCTTATCAGAAACAAGGGCTTATGAGTAAGAAATGAAATAACAGAGCAGCAGCAGCAGCACAACACCTGTCGTTAAGGTTAACTACATGCGTTGGCAAAGAGAGAAAGAAGAGGGTGCGCAGAAGGAAACAGTTTAAATAGTGCAGGTGATCTTTCCTGCTTGCACTTAGTAAGTGCCCTGCGAGGCCGAGGGTGAGTTGGGAGACAGGGACCTGCCATGCCCCGACCCGCCCGTGGGTCTCAGTCCCAAGTGTCTCTCCCAGTGAGCGTCCCACAGCGAGCATCTCCCTGAGCTGAACAGATCCCACTGTTTAAAGATACGCGTTTCCCATATTGCGAGGTCCCCAGATGCAAATAGACTGTGTTCTTTATTGCTCGGCTAGGGGAGCCATGATCTTTCTTCTGGGGACAAACTGCATAGACCTTATTGAAAGGCACGTTACTATCCAATGTGCTGCCCTCCTCAGCGACCTTGAAGGAGTAGGCGGATGTGAGATTTTGCTTTACGTGCCAACCAGGTGCATATCCAGGTTTTCTAAAACATGAAACTTACACAGTTTGGGAGGCTGAAAAAATAATACAAAATAACAGATACAAAATTAGGCCCTTGTGAGGCCTCTGTTAGTATGAAAGTGAGAGGCCACTGAAGTTTAGCTTCATCAGCTTCACGTTCATCCATCTCTGGTGCCAACTCTGAGACCTAACTCCATGTAAGATGTCACTCCACCAAAGAGGCAGGCACCCTAGACAAGTGCTCAGAAAGGTAGCTGCTGCCTTCATATTCATGGGGGAGCATGTGGGCTTCCATGCACGCTCACCAGGAGGTGCTGGGCCACTTCTGCAGTGCAGACAGCGCGGGCCTGTGGCCTGAGGCAGGGTGGAACGGCAGGCTGGGAGGCCTCCCATGGGGCCGTCTGATCGACGCGTATGCTGTGTCCACTGCTGAGCTCAAGTCTGAGGCCCATGGTCCTGCCCAATACGCATATCTGGACTGATCCCATTCACAAAGTAACACAGTGAAGGAAACCTCTCTCTCCACAGGAGGAGGAAGGGGATGTCCCCGCGGTGCTCTGATATGACAGCAAGCATAGCTACCCACCTGAGCCAGGCCTGAAGGCTGTGTGCTGTGAGAGGCTGGCCCTGGGGCTAGCCAGGGGGAAAGAACCCCCAGCGGAGTCCTGGGTGTCCCATGACCACGCCCCAGGCCACCCACCCTAAGAACACCGAATTGGAGCATGGACTGTGGCGCCCCCAAGAGTCCACCTCCCTTCCCAGCCGAAAGTGGACCCGGCCCTTACGGCGCACACGCAGCCTGTCGCTGGAGCCAGAAGTTTTCACTTCCTGGGTCACTGGGTTGTAGGCCGCACACTTGTACATGCCCTCATCCTCCTGGCTGGCGTTGACAATCTGGAGGTTCCCCGATGGCATGATAAGGTAGTTATCTGTGGAAAGGGCAGGGCCAAGGGAACAGGGGATGAGTTTGAGTCCAGAATGCTGCACACTGCAGCTCCCACGGAGGTAAGCAGTATGAGGGCAGAGGGCAGGCAGGACCCAGGTCCCAACAAGCCCAGACCTAAAATGCTATTATCCCCACAAAACCTCGCACCAGGTGGGCCAGAAGTGCCAGGGAGAGAAAATAACTAAGCAGCTCATGAACTGGCTGACTAACTGACTGCCCCAGAGTTAGTGCACAGGTCTATAGGAGAGCATTCTATACTTTCAAGGGAGCTAGTGGAGGGTGGAAAGGAAGCAGGATTTGGGGTTAGCTAGACCTGGGCTCAAGCTCTGGATCTGCCTCGTACTCTGTGATCTTGGGCAAATTAATTAATCTCGCTGATCCTGTTTCTTCACTTGTAAAAAAGCATAATGTATGCCTCATCAGAGCCGTTGTAAGGATCAAGGGGCCCGTACTGCACACATGGGAGAAGAGATGATCATTCCTGCAAGCCTCCAGGAAGTAGGGACTTGACTCTGAGTCGCTGCATTATTGAATTTCTGCTACTTGGAGAGGAATATTCTAACCTCCCGCCACTTGAATGCCACTGAAACCCCTGTCAGGCTCTGTCTGCTCCTGGTCTGGGGTGCCATGTGGTGGGGCCCCAGGGGTGTGTTCAGGTTCTTTACACAGGAGACAGATTCAAGCTTCTGGACACCCCAGTGACTAGGGTAGCATTCGGCTTCCTGGCAGGCACAGCGCTGGCCGTCAGCTCTGAGCTTTGTCCTGGTGGCCCCTCCTGGGAGTGGTGGTGTCACCAAGTCTGATGCCTCCTGCTGCTCGACCACCAAGGAGGACCTGCTTAGGCAAGTACCTGGTGGATCGGGAGAAGCCCTCGACCGTCGCGGATGAGCAGGCCCCCCCCAGGAGCTGCTGCCAAGCTTCTGCTGGGGACAGTGGGGATTAATGCACTTCTCCTCAGCGAGAGGTTGTTATTTCTGAGTGGTTGGATTAGGGTTTTTACCCTTTTGAACAAGTTTTCTGTATTTTCTAAGTTTTCTATAATGAACATATATTCCTTTCATAACCAGAAAGAGTTAATAAAAATATCTTAACATCTACAGAATAGTTCAAAAAGGTAGACATTGTTGCCTGTGGGGTCAGGTCAAGTAGGGTCTACTTGACCTTGAGTGCAGGTCAGCTGTAGGAAGAAGCTGCTTTCTAGTGGAAGGAGATCCCCCTTCCCCCGATACCCTGTGTACCAAAGTGTGGCCTTCCATGGACCAGCTGTCGTGTCCACTGTGGCCTGAGCAGGCAGCTGTGATAGCCAAAGTAACTGCATTTACCAGGCAGATGAGGAAAGGGAAAAAACTAAGTTCCACTAAAAAGATTGCTCTGCCCTGCGGGAAGAGCTCCACCTCCTACCAGGGAACCCGGAAGCTCAGGGCTGGCAGCCTTTCTGTGTGTGTTCGCTCGCGGGGGCTCGCGCAGGGAGCATCTGGAGCCATGTGCCGAGAGCCCTGACCCAACGGCAGCAGCTCAGTAACATCTTCCTGGGCCTCCCTCAAAGGATGAAGACACTTCTCATGATGGGGCAGAGGACCTCCACACTGGAAGTTACCTCCTTTAGGATCCTACAGGGCTAAGTATCAAGAAAGAAGACAGCTGGCCAGCATGGGGATAGGGCTGTTGGCGTGTTTAGGGGTTTGGGAGGTAGGAGCTGACCCAGCTTAACTGGGCAGTTGGAGGAGGCCAGCGCCCCTCCTGGCCTGGGCTCACTCACCTCTGGAGGCCTCCAGCCACTCTTGTTTGACGCTGTACCGGACCTGAGCTTTCGGGTGGCTCTCCGGCAGGTGGCAGGCAATGACCGCTGTGTTCCCCTCATCCACTTCAATCACGTGCTGCACATCTAACTTGAAGTCCTGGAGATCTGTGGAGAGAAGAGAAGGTGCTGGTTGGGCCCCGATGCAGGAAAGCAAGAGCATGACATTTCCGGGCAGGCCTGTGCCTCAGTGTCGTCGGTCCCAATAAACAGCTGCAGAACCTCACACACTGCGGGTGTCAGGGATACGTCCCTCCTCCACCTCCTGCTATTTGTAGGAGTTCGTGAGAATGGAATGTGTGGCCCTCCTCACTGATGGGTGTTCAACTCGGTATCTATATAAGCTGGGGGCGGGGGGTGGGGGAGAGTGTAGAGAATGCCATTGGGAGGTGCCTCGGACACAGACCAGCCTCTTCTGTTACACTGGGGCATCGCGGTGAGCTGGCCCTGCTCATCCGCCCTGGAAGTGGGCTGTGGTCAAGGCACCAATGTCCCCGCACAGCTGTGAGAGGCCCAGCAATAGAGACTGAAGGAAACAATGAAGAAATATGCTCATGTCTTTTCCCCAATTCAGTCAAGAAGAGCCTTCCCAGGTTCTTCTCAGGCATCCAGAGTGACAGGTGACAGGCTCAGGATTCTGCTCGATTGCCCACCATGGTTACAACCAGAAGGCCGATTCCTGCGACCCAGGAGCTACACCTACGCCAGGGAGGATCCTTCCTCAGGGCTGCAGGTGGGGCTCTGTGAATCCCCTAAAGGTTTTCTAAGGCAAAGAGGAACCTCCCAGGACAACAGGTAGCACTCAGTGTGGCCCGATGACCACGGAAGGTGGGTCTCCAGCAGCTTCACAACCACCTCTCCTGACCTGGCTTGGTGGGGTCTAAACTGGGAGAGGGTGGAGGTCCATCGGAACAAGAGCAGGAGGTTTCTCAAACAATGCAAACGTGCAAACAACAAAGTCCTCTCTGTATGAGCCAAATCACATTGCTGAACAAAACAGGGGTCATTTGTGCAACAAAACTGCATTCCAAATTGGAAATTTGGTTTTCAGGACTGTAGCTGAATTAAGAGAAGAAATAATATTAATGGAGAGTAAGACAGATGAAAACATTTTACCCACACGCTCTCTTCATAAAAGTCCCTAGCCTGGAGCACCTTTTCTGAACGCTGACCACACCGAGCTCTGCTCGGCTCCTGAGAACCGACAGCGTCAGGGCTTACTGTGATTTCCCTGCAAGACTCCACCTGCCCATGTTGTTGTTTCCACTGGAGACTCAGAAAGGGCGAGAATCAGGTTTCTCACAAAACACAAGAGATAATTACCAAAAACAAACTACTGTCACCACAGGAGAGCCCAGTGATCAAGGTACTCAACAAGGTCAGGAGGTTTCCCACTTAATGGAACTTTCCAGAAGCTCTTAGTCAAGCCAGCCCAGGGCAGGAGAGCCCTATTTTTTCTATGAAAGGGTCATTGTCTCTCTGATTACAATATTAGACTGTGAACTCTTTAGGGGCAGGAACTGAGTCTTGTTCATCTGTGCATCCTCTGGACCTAACCCAGGTCCTGGCCCAAGCAGACACTCAGTAAATGTTGAATGAATGAATGAATATCTTGGAAGCCAAGCCTCCCAAGTTAGGTACAAGATGCCCACCCATGTTGCCTGTGAACTCAAGTTCATGGTTGAGGTGGTCTACACTGTGAGCTTGAAGGGCCTAGCACGACAAATGTTCTGTGAACATTTTATTATCTGAGTGTGGCCAATGGAAGCTATTTTGAAAATAGAATGTTTTTTGAGAGGTTACCTCCGAGCTCCTAGGAAAGAGGTGAAATAGGTCTCGTAAATGTGGAGTAAGTAACACACGCTATTCTCGGAGTGGTGTGGCAAAAACAATGACAGACTGCCTGGTTCCCTTCTATTGCTCCATTTTACTTTCCAGGCTGCAAGAGCAATGCCTATGGGTCCAGGTGAGATCTCTCTTGGATTCCTTCCTTTGGGTGGGCGTAGGGGCTCCTGGGCTTTTAAACAATTATTTCACCATTTTTTAATTTTGTAGGTGTGATATCTGACCTTAACGAAATTACAAATTCCCGGTGGGAAACTTATTAATTTTTCACTCCCCACCCTAACCCCAAGCCCTACTGCACAGTACTTAGGATACAGCAAATGCTCTCCAAATCCTTGCCAAATAAATAAAGTTTGGAACGCCGAGCCCAAGGCCAGCTTCATAGGGTGTGCAACCTGCCCCTGCACTTGGAAGGGGCCAACACTTGGTTTAATGCTCAGTTGTCCACATCTTAAAATGCTTAATAATCTTTGAATAAGGGACCCTCCATCATCATTTTGCAGTGGGCCCCACAGATTATGTAGCGCAGTCCTGGCTGAGCCTCAGCCAAGACAGCTAATGAGTTTTCTCAGAGAGGAGGAAGGTTTGGACTATGGGAAAGGGATTGCCTGAGCTCAGCTAAGTATTGGTAACTTTGTTTTTTGAAAGCAATTCACTTAAAAAATGCAAAGGCCTTAATCCTCCTTCAGGCCAGTTCGCCCTGTACCTGCCAAGTCAGGAGGCTCCCCACAAAGAGGGCTGTGAATGATTGTGAGCTTTAGGGGCATCTGGAAAATTCCTCAGGCACTGTGAAGCGCTCTCTTCCACGGTCTAATAAATCCCAAACTGCTCCACCAAGAGTTTTTTTCCCTCTCCTTTTCTTTACCTCATTCTAAGGAAATTTGCCTCAAGCCAAGAATACACTTAAACCTAGTAGATTATTTTGCAAGAAAGATGTGAGCAACTGAAAGGAGTTTGGCACTGGAATGCCATCTCCATGTTAATGGCCCCGGTGCCTACCCATTGTGAAGCTGAGGGTTTATGCAGGCATGGAGCATGCACTCCTCCGAGCACCCACCTCAGCAACCCAGTGCTAGGAAATACTGTGCCCCCCACCCCAAGACCCCTCTTGGCTCCTGCCATGCCCTCTGACAATTGCTCTGTCAGAGACAGAAGGCTGTGCAGTGGGGGAGCACGAAGCCGGGCACCGGTCAGCCATGTGGCCAGACAGCCCCTCTGTTCTGATGCCAACATGTGCACAACAGCCGTGCAGGCAGGACCGAGGGCACCCCAGCTGGGCGTCCAGCTCCCCACAAGGGCGACTGGCAGGCAAGCCTTCCTGGCTTCAAAACAAATAAGCAGCAGTCCTTGGCCCTGTCCCCTCCCTGTGCCTCTTAAACTTAAGCCTCAGCTGTTGCTTCATCAGACAAACACTCCCAATTTGGACGCTCCAGTATAACTTCAGTTTCACTAAGGATCGAAGGCAGAGTAATGAAGTGATGAATGATCTGGAAACCAGAGGACCCCCTTCTCCTAGTGTTTTGGGGCAGGAAGGGGGCCAGGGAGGGGTGGAGGCTTCATGATCAATACCAGCCTAATCGGCCATCAGACGGGCAGATGCAGAGAGGGGCTCTCGCTGGCGCATGTGAAGGAAACCGGCCTGTTCCCAGGCCCCTTTGTCCCACACTGGCCGGGTTCCTGGCGAGGCCCTGGGCTGCTCAGTCTGCCTCACTGGGTGGAATAAGGGGTAGGCCCTTCCGTTACAAATGGGGTTAGCAGGCCTCCCCTGCAGAAAGGTGGATCAGGTTTCATGGGGAAATGGTTTGACAGGACACCTGCCCTTGCCTGTTTGAGAAATCCATTAGGGGAATGTTTGTGCAGCTTTAATCCTCTTACCTGCCCTCACACCCCTTTTTTGCATCCTCTCTTTGTGCATTCTTCCAGCTACTTCATTAACTTGTCCACATTAATCAAATGTCAGTAAGCCCACTCCTGTTGTTTCTCAGCTCTCGACAGGTGAGAAGTCCTGCTCTTTGGGGCCATCCTTGGGTTTACTGACCTTCTTTACTTGTCACAGAATTTTGTGTTTTCTGAGAAAGCCCATATTTTAGGCTCCATATGGAACCCTGCCTGGTTCCTCCCTTCTAGGAGCTCAGTTTCCAAAGGGAATATGTATATCCTGACACATCACTTCTGCACGATGCCTAGATGCGCAGGTGACAGGGATTTGTTCAAACATACCCTGTGATGTACTCTGTGCTTCTTCCTCCTGTTCAAAGGGTACATCAGGCATATACTCTTTTGGCCATGGGAAAAATAGAAAGCAAATAAAAGGCTTTCAGAGGCACATGGGTGTGGCTGCCGTCACCAGGATCACACTGAAACTACAAACTGACAAATTTTGTCGTGCGAGTCCCTCTTGAACTTCTCATTACCTTCTAGTTTTCATCCTCCCTTTATTAATAAAAGGTTCAATAGAGCTAGAAATTAAATTTCAATATTTGGTGAATATTCATGCATTCTCATAACAAACTGTCAAATCTTAATTGTAGTCTTATCCTTCAATTTTCGTGGATTTTACGTATCCAGTTACAGGGAGTGCTGAGTCTTAGCTAAATACCCCCAGTGTAATTCATAAACCTAACAATCACTTTCAAGGGGTTTCCTCATTTGATCTTTTCCCAAGTCCTCTCTCAGGCTGCAAATCAAAGTTCAATTCCGTTTAAGTAAGAAGTCGAGTAAGACATTGTCTTTGGCTAGATGCTGCATACAGTTACCGAAATCCTCATATCCACGAGCTCGGCTGAACCCCTACACAAATCGTGGCCTTGCACCCACGCAGGTGTGCCTCACGTGCAGTCCCGTCCCACCTTCCTGCCTATTCCCAGGGATCAGGCCACAAGCCTGCGCTCCTCTGCGGAGGTTTGGATGGGATCCGCCAGATTATGGGGCACCGCATGGGGCTCGCTGGGCAACGCCACTGGGTTGATTTAGCAGCCTCAGGGACAGCAGCAAGTTTCTGGGCTGCCTGATGGTTCTACTCCCCGACTCTCATGGCCTCTAAGCCTCCACTTGCTCCTGTGGCAGCCTTCTGCACCTGTGGCTAATGCTACAAAGCACAGAGATTCTGCCCTCACGGAGCACTACCCAGTGGCATGCTCAGTCCCCGTCTGAGAGATGGCCAAGGTGCAGGGGAAGTACAGCTACTAAGAGCCTTTTCTGGCCAAGCCTCTGGCTCTTGGCTACGCAGATAGACTTGGAAGTCTAAGAGATAAAGGGTCCTT